AAAAATTCGTTATAAGCTTATAATGAAGTTGATATCCAGATCCTAGAATTCGTTATATCAAGAGTTCACTGTATTATTTATTAAAATCAATGATTGGTAATTTACAAGCCTGATTTTTATATAATGATTTATACTATTCAATAAGATTTTTGATTCAAAAGAATTATCTTCATATGGAATAAAAGAAATTAAACCTTTATATAAATCTTTGAAAATGAAAGATATAAATCAAATGATATATTAACATTTATTTTAATATTATATATTGTATATTAAAAAAATTCAACTTAATTAGAAAGATAAAAAAAAAGCTCTTTACAAATCATATACTTTAAAAAACTTATTTAAATAATAAATATTCTATATATTCAAAACTTGCATAAAATTCATAACAAGTTTAATAAAATCAAAAAAACAATGCTTACAACCTTCAATATAATAGTATAATACCAAATTCATTCCTAGTCTTTCATAAACATCATCAGTAAAATTTGTAAAACAAAATTGAAACCAGTTCATTTTTTATAATAAAATTAAACATACAAAATTCATGCATTAGCTAAAGGTTAAGTTGAATTTCTTTTTTCTGAAGAAATTTTAAAAAAATGCAAATTATGTAATGGTAAGATAATTTGATTTTTAGACTTTATAAAAGAGTTGTTCAGCTATCAAATAGCCCAATCTCATAGAAATTTTTAGGAAACAGATAATAATTTGATAATTAAAAAAAATAATAATTAGATATTTTATGAAGATAATTAAAAAAGGCGTGGAAATTGAACCTGAAATTTTACTTAATTCAGTTTGTAACATGCCGACTAGATTAGAACAAATAATGGCTATTAGCTTCGTCATATAATAATAAATATAATTTTATAAGTTTCATGTTTTTTAGCACATAAATAAATGTGATTTCGTCGCGCACTGTATATGTTATATACAGAATATACGTATATAAAATATGTATGTAATAGAAAAAAATTTTAGATCTTAATTACCGCAATTCTTCCTGTCCCATTCTAGGTTGATCGTTATCAAGCATTGAATACTTATACTTATTATATTGAAACATTAACGTCTCGCTCATTATGTATAAAATCAAAGTAAATATTGACAATGCAGTCATAATCTGAAACATTAAAGTAGGGCTTCTAGAAAAGATTACGGAACCAATGATTGCTCCGATTCCAGAAGATAAACTGAAAGTTCCATAATATATACCAAGATAAGTCGCCTGTAATGAATTTGAAGCAAAGTTGCTGGTAATTTCTATCCCGGCTGTCCATATGAATGCGTAAATAACTCCTTGTAGCTATATTCATATTATTAAATTATTTATTTATAAATACTCATATTATTTAGAATAAAGATTTTACCAATTCTATAGGTAAGGCCATCCATGATTTCATATTCTTTCCAAGAAATCCATATAAACCAACTCTAATAATGAGGGCAAGTTGACCTACAATCATCATGTTTCGAGGTCCTAATAATTTCAATAATTCTTTGGCATAATTTAAAATTATAATCTCTAAAGATATTCCCATGACACTGCAAAGCCCCAATAAAGTTCCACTAGCATGAAAAGTTTCTGATATAAATAAGTATTAATCATTAAAAAGTCCCGAGATAAATTAAACCGAAAAAATTAAATCATAATTAAAAAAACCATACCTGAAAGATATAAGAAGAGATAAATTCCACATACTGACTTCACTGTTGCAATTAAAAGAGTGATAAATAGAAAGAATGAAAACTTGGGGCTTCCTAATATCCGCAATAATATTGAAGTCGAATTCATGACTGTTACACTATTTTCCGTTCCGAGTTTGGCCTCAATATTTGTATCATTATCTGTAATATTATCATTGACAAACAAATCTAATTCTAAATCATCGTCGTTATTTAAAGGTATGGTTTGATTAATTTTTTGATAATAATTAAAATCATTCGTGGTTGTACTAAGTATAAGCCCAGCGAACGTTCCCATCTGTTTTGAATAATTTTAAACCAATAATATTAATTTAGGATCGAACTTTAAATTATTAATTTTTTCTGGGATACAAACCATACATAAATAAATTATAAATATCAGATGAAGCCCAAATAAATCAGTTAAGAAACCTTAAATCCAAAACAAAAAGGATTAGATTTTAAAAAAATCTTTTAGCAAAATTAATAAATACTTTTGAATTAAAAAGCAAAATAATGCTTTAAAACTGCAAAATCTATAAAATAATTACCTGAAAGTGAAACAAATAAACCACAAGACAAAGTTCCCCAAAGACGCTGACCGAAGGCATACAAGATATTAACTAGTTAATTAATTATTCAAGTTGCAACGATATAAATTTCCTTTTTTTTTTTTTTTTTTTTTTAAAAAAAAAAAAAAAAAAATTAAAAGTTTAAAAAAAATTAAAGGTTAAAAGTATTTTTAATAAAAATTAAATTATTTTAAAAAAGTTAAAAATAAAAAAAAGTCAAAGATGGAAAGAAAGTAAGGGTGAAACTTCTTGATAATAACAATTTCATGATTTTATAACAGGTAACACTCATAAAATATGAACATTTTGATAGACACCTCCGCAACCATCAATCCCAAATCTTTTAACAAATAACTCGTTAAATAGTTAGATTGGATGCGGAGACGCTATAAAAAAAGTAGAAATTTCGTCATAAAATTCTCTCAATGTGACGACGCACCTGTCGACCATATTCTACCCGATCTCCATCTTTTTTAAGTGTAGCTAATAACGCAAATAAAAAATAAAATTTTGAGCAGAGAATTTTTTAAATTTATTTTAACAAAAAAAAAGAGATAGACCTATTGTGAAGTTGTCAACTAAAGGAGAAATTCCTCCGTTGAATAAAGCACTAAAGAGGAAAGAGAGCAAAAGTCCTTCAAAACCAATAACTTTCCCGATTAATGGATAACTAATCGTAGTGCAAGTAGTGGAAGATATACAAGTTAAAAGTATAATTTTATGCGCGTTAAATTTATCGGCCAAAAACTAAATGAACAGTATATTATTAATATTTATATTTAGAAAAAAAAAACGTAAAGAAATCGAAATGACAAACAGTCCAGAGTCCAGCACTAAAAAATTCAACAAATGGAGTTATCGAAAGTAAAAAACCGATTTGTTCCTCTTTTATCAATAGAACTTTGGAAAGGAACAAGGGCATATAAGGAAAGAAGGAGCAATTTGCTGCAAGAAAAAAAATATATAAAAGTTTGAGCCTCAAGTGTTTAACAGGTAATGTAGACATTTGAACAACGAAATCTGAATTTCTGAATTCGAAAGTCCGGAGAACCTTAAAATTTTAAAAGTCACATGTTATGAAGCGAATGACATCACACTCACTTGTTATATTGAAGAAAAAAAGGCCGATTGAATCTAATTAATCTAATTTTATTATTTTAATATACCAGAAAAGGAATTTTAATACTTTTATTGTGTTAAAAAATTGATAATAAGTCCCAAAGAATTGCTTTGCTCTCTAAGAAATTTACAAACATCATGGGTTTACTATAAAATGCAATGTACTTAAAAAAAACAACCTGTTATATATTTAAGACCATCTGTAGTTCTCCGATGGATGTTGATATAATTGTAACTAATAATCCCAGAAAAACATTCATACTAGAGTTATCATATCAAACTAATATTTTATAAAAAATGGAAAAAAAAAACAAAAACTAAATATCTTATGTGAAATTATTTTTTTTTTATTTTTTTATTTTTTTTTATCTTTTTTTATTTTTTTTTATTTTTATTTTTAATTTTTTTTTTTGAAAACATGGAAGCAAACGTCCCCCCTCCAAAAAAAAAAAAATAAATAAAAAAATAAAAATAAAAAAACAAAAAAACAAAAAAAAAAAAAAAAAAAAAAAAAACAAAAAAAAAAAAAAAAAAAAAAAAAAAAAAAAATAAATAAAAAA